CCCCTGTCAACCTTTCCTCTCACCTCCCCCCACCTCCTCCCCCCCTGTCAAGCCCCCCCCTCCACCCCCTACCAAACCCTGCCTTCCTTACTACCCCTGTCAACCTTTCCTCTCACCTCCCCCCACCTCCTCCCCCAGCCCCTGTCAAGCCCCCCCCTCCACCCCCTACCAAACCCTGCCTTCCTTACTACCCCTGTCAACCTTTCCTCTCACCTCCCCCCACCTCCTCCCCCAGCCCCTGTCAAGCCCCCCCCCCTCCACCCCTACCAAACCCTGCCTTCCTTACTACCCCTGTCAACCTTTCCCTCTCACCTCCCCCCACCTCCTCCCCCAGCCCCTGTCAAGCCCCCCCCTCCACCCCCTACCAAACCCTGCCTTCCTTACTACCCCTGTCAACCTTTCCTCTCACCTCCCCCCACCTCCTCCCCCAGCCCCTGTCAAGCCCCCCCCCTCCACCCCCTACCAAACCCTGCCTTCCTTACTACCCCTGTCAACCTTTCCTCTCACCTACCCCCACCTCCTCCCCCAGCCCCTGTCAAGCCCCCCCCCCCCTCCACCCCTTACCAAACCCTGCCTTCCTTACTACCCCTGTCAACCTTTCCTCTCACCTCCCCCCACCTCCTCCCCCCCCTGTCAAGCCCCCCCCCTCCACCCCTACCAAACCCTGCCTTCCTTACTACCCTGTCAACCTTTCCTCTCACTCCCCCCACCTCCTCCCCCAGCCCCTGTCAAGCCCCCCCCCCTCCACCCCCTACCAAACCCTGCCTTCCTTACTACCCCGGTCAACCTTTCCTCTCACTTCCCCCACCTCCTCCCCCCCCTTGTCAACCCCCCCCCCCCCCCCCCTCCACCCCCTACCAAACCCTGCCTTCCTTACTACCCCTGTCAACCTTTCCTCTCACCTCCCCCACCTCCTCCCCCAGCCCCTGTCAAGCCCCCCCCCCTCCACCCCCTACCAAACCTGCCTTCCTTACTACCCCTGTTAACCTTTCCTCTCACTTCCCCACCTCCTCCCCCAGCCCTTGTCAACCCCCCCCCCTCAACCCCCTACCAAACCCTGCCTTCCTTACTACCCCTGTCAACCTTTCCTCTCACTTCCCCTCACCTCCTCCCCCCACCCCTCCACCACCCCTTCGTTGCCCCTGTCGACTCCCCCTCTCCCCTGTTACCCCCCCCCCATGCTACCCCCTAGTGAGCAGTCCACGGCCCTCGCTCTCTACCTGGGGCGCTCGGATGCCTTTCTTCCCGTATTTATTTCTCTCTTTGGTTATTCTCTTTCGTCTCCTTTCTTTTGTTTGTTGCATAGGTTCTTTGTTTTGTGTATTCATTTTTTTTTTTTTTTGTATTATATTTGGTAAGAGTGTTTTTTTTCGTTTTTCTTCTTTTTTTCTTTTTTTGTCCTTTTTATCCTCTGTTTTTTCTGTCAGTTGATCTTTATTTGTATTTGTTTGCTCGGTTATCATACTTTCTCTCTCTTTGTCTCTGTCACTCTCACTCTCCTTCTCACTCACTCTCTCTCTCTCTCTCTCTCTCTCTCTCTCTCTCTCTCTCTCTCTCTCTCTCTCTCTCTCTCTCTCTCTCTCTCTCTCTCTCTCTCTCTCTCTCTCTCTCACTCTCATTCTCTCTTTCTCTCTTTCGCGCGCGTATGTGCGTGTGTGCATATGTATGAGTGTGTGCCAGCGCCTGAGAGATGCCCCCACCGAGAGAAGACCGAACGGTGAGTGAAGGATGAGGCGGCCACCAAGATCCCTCGATTCCTTCACTAAAGAGCAGCGGCGGACTGAGGCTCCTCCAGGAAGCGAGAATTTGCCCTTGGCTCTCCGCATGTAGTCTTCCTCTCAGGTTGTACAGTATAAATAGAGCCATAAAACTACATATTTAGCATATTCCGATCGACGATGAAGCAGGAAGTGTTACAGAAATAAATAGCTCTTGCGGAAGGAGACAGACAACGCAAAATGGCGTGTCTGGCGAGGGAAGAAGTGATGGATAAACAGGTGAAGCAGGAAATATGAGTAGGGTGTGTTGGGGAGACAGAATATGTAAGATTATATAAATCAAATGAATTAGTACATCATGATGGATATAATGACCTGTTTATTGAATAACATTAGCATACAAACTTCAGTAATATGATATATAGAGTAGGTATAGCTGGGATACAGACGGAGTGTGTGTGTGTGTGTGTGTGTGTGTGTGTGTGTGTGTGTGTGTGTGTGTGTGTGTGTGTGTGTGTGTGTGTGTGTGTGTGTGTGTGTGTGTGCCAATAAGCCGCTCGCATCTTATCAGGCTTAGAATCATATTTATGATATTTATTCACATGATACACCCGAGTTTATATACGAGCGAGTCAAGCTCTGATTTGTTTATTTTGGTCCAAGTTGGTTTAGGTTAGAATTGACTTTGTTTACTTCTTATGATTCGAAGTTATCCACACTCGACTTGTCTCCTGTATCGTTCTAATGGTATTTTACATTTGAGTCATAATGATCAAGTCTGTTTCCCCTTCGGAGCCAAAGCCGAATGCTGTATCATAGAGGCTTCCGTGACGTGAAGACAAGTCCGGGAACTCGGGAACAAAAATAGATAAATGTATAGACAGAAAAGGCATGTCATTTG